GTTGGGTGCGTGGGTGAATGGATGGGTGGGTGGGTAGATGATGGATGGGTGGGTGGATGAGTAAAGCCGGAAATCCTTCATGATAGGCAGTTCACTAGTATCGTACCTCAGTGCATGAGTTACTTTGTCCAATGAAAATGCTGAGAATTCATGAAGCAGCTCTTCTGGGTGCTGCTGTGGGAAGTGTAAGGAACTATGACCTTGACCCTGCCCTTGAGAAGCCTCCCAGTCTGGTAGAGGAGCCACAGTTGATTTAAGTGGGCAGAAGGGGATCAACATGCAGTTCTGTCCAGTCCAGAAAGGGGAGGTTTGTGCTGCCCTCAGGACTGGCCTTCTGTCCACAGATGTTGTCACCAGAGACGAGTTCCTCAGAAAGCAGAAGACGGAGACCATCATCTACTCGCGAGAGAAGAACCCCAACACTTTCGAATGCATCGTTCCCGCCAACATTGAAGCTGTGGCCGCCAAGGTGAGGTGGGGTGAAGGCACCGGTTATCTTTGTGAGGGCGCCTCGGCCATGCAGAAGGGAGGGGTGCAGAGTCCCCCTCCCCTCCCTGTGGGCAGACCCCCTTCTCTCCTTTTCTCACCTGCCGGGTGTTACGTCACCACACACCCTCGTCCTCCAGGCTCTGACGTGCACGTTTATGTTTTAGAATCACTCCGTGCCTCCGACGGCTCCCTGGCACTGGTGTTCTGGTTTGCATTGTCTCGGGCTTTGCATGCGCCTGGCCGTGACAACAAGGGCCGGAGCTAGAGGGAGCGTGTGTCAGGACAAGAGACAGGGAGAGCGAGCGGGCGACAGGAGTCATGTTCACCTCAGGAGGGAAAACGGAGCAACAGAAGGGTTATTGGTGGCAACGCAGGAGAGGTGTCTGCACCCTCTTCTGGAGGGGCGATGTGATCCTTATCAGCCCCAGGCATCGATTTCTTTCTCATTCTGGGACCTTTGGAGAGCAAAGCCATCAGTTGAGTGCCACCCCAGCATCTGGGGGTCACCTCTGCAGTGGGCGGTGACCCTGGACGAGGAGCCAGGAGCAGGTGCCCACCGGAGCCCCGCGTCTGCCCCCCCCCCAACACGTCCCCACGTGGTCACTCAGGCAGAAGAACGTACAGGCAGAGCTCTCAGCCAGCCTGGAATCGCTCATTCGGTGTTTAAGTCTGGGCCACGGCATTTAGGGGATGGTGACGTTGGAGTAGAGAGCACAGGAGTGGGCAGGGTGGTCGCTGGAAAGGTGAAGCCGTACCGTGTGGATGGTGGCCGTGCTGGTGGGGAGCGAGGGCAGTGACCGGAAGGAGCGCGGGGGCCGGGGCGGGTTGTGAAGACTCGCGGAGCGGCACGCTTGGGGACACGTGCGCTGTTTTCTAGATCCACGTTCTAGTTCAGCGCAAAGGGCTCGAGCATCTGGGGGTTTGTTTGCTTCAGACGTGACACTCTCAGCAAAACAGAGATTTGTCCTCCAGAAGCGAGGAGCCCATGGGTGCCAGGGAACCCTGCCTGAGAACCCTCGGCAGTACTCCCAAGGTCGTCCAGCCCCAGTTCGCCTTTCCGGTGTTTTCTGCCCTTGCTTCGTACCGAGAATGCCTCCGTGAGCCGAGGGGAGTAGCAGGTGCTCTTGAAGCTGACTTTGATTTTTGCACTGAAAGTCGTTCACCCCCCACCCCCACCCCCGATGCACCTCGGGCCCCGGCCCTGCTGACACATGGCACCTGCAGCCCGGTGTCCAGGCAGGCGGGGACTTGTCCCGCAGAGGTCAGGCTTCACCTCGGGTCGCTCCCTGGGGCAGCTGGGGACGTGGGGACACTCGGGGCTCTCGCCCCTGCCCCTGCCCCAGCCGCCCTGCTGCCCAGAGGGGCTGGGGAGCTGCTGACCGCTGGCCCCCGTACCGCAGGACAAGCACTGCCTGCTGGAGGCCGGGATCAGCTGCACCAGAGACTTGATCAAGTCCAGGATCTACCCCATCGTGCTCTTCATTCGGGTGTCGGAGAAGAACATCAAGAGGTTCAGGTAGGGCCCCGAGACCCCCCCTGCTCCCACCGCCACACCTCCGGGGTCCCCCCAAGAACAGCCGGCTGCTTGGCGTCCCCGCTCACCCTTTCAGCGGGTCCTCGTCGAGTGCCAGACATGGCCCCCTTCCTCCAGCAGCGGAGACCATACCACACAGGCAACACATCCTGGGGGACCCGGGGGGACAAGTGCCGAGGTGGGTGGTGGACCCACCTCGCAGGACCCAGGTGGCTGGGGAAGCGAAGCTGATGTTGGACCGGCCCCAGTGCGGTGAGGGTGGGCGGGGCAGGTGCAGAGGAGAGGCCCCCAGACCTCAGGCGGGAACAGTGGCAGGCGGCGGTGGGGACCTTGCAGCCGCGGGGGCCCCAGCCATGCCGAGTGATACGATCTAACACGGGGCGTAAAGGGCTCCCTCCGCCTGCTGTGTGGACACAGGGGTCAGGACAGCCGGGGCAAGTGCTGGGACCCAGATCCTGTCTCGCGGGTGGTGCGGAAAGGTCCGATTCTGAATCCACGTTCCAGGTCAAGCCTGTGCGTTTTGCTGGAGGGTTGGCTGTGGGGTTTGGGGCCTGGCTGTCACGTGGCATTGTCCCTGACCTCTGCCCCGCGAGGCCCCGGCTGAGGCGAAGAGAGGTTGGGCCACTCCCCTGTAGCTCCAAATCTTTACTGAGCACCTGTTCAGGGCCTGGCACCCGGGATCCCACGAGCGAGCAAACGAGACAGAGGCCCCCACCTCACCACTGCACACGCGTTCTGACCGCTGCCGTCCACAGCCCAGAAGGGAACGCGTGTTGGGGGAGGCGGTGGGGGGTGAGGGCTGGCGCCCTGGGGTACTGCTGGCGGGAGCATGAAATGCTACAGCGGCCGAGGAAGACGGGGGTACGGAGGTTCCTCCTCGAATGACCCGCCCAAAAGGATCGAAAACAGTCTCAAAAAGATAGGCGCTCACCCGTGTTCACGGCAGCGCTGTTCACAAGAGCCAGGAGGTAGAAGCAACCCGGCGTCCACGGGTGGACGATGGATAAACACAATGTCGTTCATCCACACGCTGGAATATGATTCAGCCTTAAAAAGGAAGAACAGTCTAGGGGCACCAGTCTTCTGACTTCAGCTCAGGTCATGATCTCGCAGTTCGTGAGTTCGAGCCCCACATTGGGTTTTGTACTGACAGCTCAGAGCCTGGAGCCTGCTTCGGATTCTGTGTCTCCCTCTCTCTCTCTGCCCCTCCCCCACTCACGCTCTGTCTTCCTCTCTGCCCCTCCCCCACCCGGGTTCTCGTTCTCTCTCTCTTTCTCAAAAATAAACAGTAAAAAAAAAAACCAAAATATTCTGGCACCTGCTCCAGCACGGATGAACCTTGGAGACATGATGCTCGGTGCCAGCAGCCAGACGCACAGAGGGTTAGGGTGAGGTCCCTGGAGGAGTCTGGGTCACAGAGACAGAAAGTAGTCAGTGGTGAGGGGCTGGGGGAGGGGCGGGGGGGAGAGGGAATCAGTGTGCTAACGGGTATGAGTTTCGGTTTTGCGGGATGAAAAAGTTCTGGAGGCTGATGGCACAACAGCGTGAACAAACATGACACTAAGTGAACTGCGCACTTAAAAACGACAGGGTTTACCAACTCCCTTGGCACATCAACCAGCCCTGAAAATGGAGGTCTTCTTTTTAAAGTTTATTTATTTTTGAGAGAAAGAGAGAGCCGGGGAGGGGCAGAGAGAGGCAGAGAGAGAATCCCAAGCAGGCTCGCACTGTCAGCGCGGAGCCGCGTGCAGGGCTCGTGCCCGCGAACCGCGAGATCGTGACCTGAGCCAAAGTTGGATGCTCGACCGACTGAGCCGCCCAGGCGCCTTTGTAAGAAATTTGGTGTTTTTTTTTTTAAGTAAATGCAAAGGAAAGAAAAACTACAGATATTTTTTTAAGCCCCGCCTCTCGGGCCGGGCCGTGTGCTGGAAGGCGCCGCGCGCCGCGGGGACCCGGCGTGGCAGGTGGCGGCCCCCACAGCGGCTCGTGTCCCCCCCCCCCCCGCCCCGCCCACAGGAAGATGCTGTCCCGGCCCGAGACGGAGGACGAGTTCCTGCGGCTGTGCCGGCTGAAGGAGAAGGAGGTGGAGGCCTTGCCCTGCCTGTACGCCACGGTGGAGGCCGACATGTGGGGCAGCGTGGAGGAGCTGCTCCGCGTCCTCAAGGACAAGATCAGCGAAGAGCAGCGCAAGACCGTCTGGGTGGACGAGGACCAGCTGTGAGGCGGGGCCCGGGGCCGAGGCGGCTCGGAGGGGCTTGCGGACCCCGGCGGGCGGTGCCGTGGGCGCGAGGGGGCCCCGTCCACCCGGTCACGCGGGCCCCAGGGAGCTGAGGGGACGGACCCGGACCCGGACCCGGACCGGTCAGCTGGGAACGGGCCGCCCCGGCCGCACGCGTCGTCGCGACGCCAGGCCGGAGGCCAGCGGCCCCTCGGGAGCCGAACAGCCGATGAATGTAACGCACGAACGGGTGTGCCAGCCGCGGGGCGGCGACCCTGAGCGCGGGGGCGCGCCCGCCGGCCTTCGGGACACAGCACGTACACGTTCCCGGGCAGGATGGCCGCGGCGGAAGGGGAAGCCCTCCGCGCGGCGACTTTTCTCTTTTCTCGCATTAAAACGTCACCGTTTCCTCGTCCTCCACCTTTCCGAGAGCTGTTAGTACGTAGTAATTTGCAGAGGGGCGGAGCCCTTGCTGAGCGCGCAGACCACTTCCGGAAGAGCTTGGGGCGGGGGCCACCATCGTCCGGGACAGACCTGATTTGGGCCTGGGCCTCGGGCGTGGTTACTAATAACCCCTTTGACGAAGACACGTCCCGATTTGGGTGAGAAGTTGTAGCGTCACTCTAGGAAGGGCCCTCCCTGGAAGGTCACCCTGCCCCCCCAGATCCCAGCCCTGAGGCCAGGGCCCCTCACTCGGCTCCCCGATCCTCTGCACGTGGCGTCCATACGCGCAGCCCCACGTCGCCCTGCGCTTGGGCGCGTGGAGTAAGTATCTCTGTTGGGTTTGTTCCCGCTGCCCAGGCGCTGGGGTGTGTGCGCGCGTGCGCGTCTGCCGGAGGCTCGTGCCTCCCTCCGCGACAGAGAGCAAAGGCCCCGTGGGTTCTAGAGCCACTCTTCTCCCTGACCCCCTGGACGCAGACTTTCCCAGTATGGACCCGACAGGGTGTGGCCAAGCCAGGCCTCGTCCGGCCCGGCTCCGTGCTGAGTATTCGGCAGGTGGCAGGCTGGGGTTCCCTCCCAGCTCTGTGTGTTCATGGGAACTGGGAGCAACCGCCGCTTGACAAACCAGGACCCGCATTCCCTCCCTTACTAACAGAATCCTCTTTTTATTCTGGGAAACTACATGCAGCTCAAAGACCATATTCCCCAGCTTCCCTTGCAGCTAGGGTAATCAAGAAAATGTAAGGCGAAAAGGTTTTGGGGGAAGGACAGAGCAGACCGGCAGCCCTTTCCCTAGTTTCCTGCCTGGAATACAGCTGTGATGGCTGGAGCTCCTGCAGTCACCTTGGACCTTGAGGCGACCTTGAGAACGGAAACCCTACGCAGAGGATGGTGGAACAGAAAGAGAAAAGGAGTCAGCATGGCTGATGGCACTTTGGAGCCCGGGGACGACTGCTTGGGTTTTGTTTACATGGGACAGAAATAAATTTATGTTACGTGGCGGTCATTTCCGTCCTTGGTTACTTGCAGCCTAAAGCAATTCCTAACAAATACAGGAGCAACCCTTGCTCTTAGATACCATGGGTGTGGGTTGATATGCTAGGTTTTTGCCACATGTTCAAGGTACAAATTATGAATAAAAGAGCTTCTGGTAAATACCTCACCCTGGAAAACAGTGCCGTACGTCCTGCATTTTTGTTTGTTTGTTTGTTTTGTTTTTAGCATTTTGGCTCTTTGAAGTCAAGTGAGCACCACAAAGCCTGGGGAGGTGCGACCGGGGATGGGAGATTCCCCGGGGGTGGGGGGAGCCTGGTCTCCTCGTCCCTCCGTGATGATGATTTGGCCCTACGCCACCGAGACCGGACGTTGCCAGGCAGAGCGACGCCTCTGAAAACAGTTACTGACGCTGCTTCTTCCGCAACAGCCCCCAGAATCAAGCTGGACGTGCTGGATCCGGAGAAACCCTGCTTTCCGGAGACCCGGCTGTGGTTGTTTAGGGCCAGAGAAGCCGCCCGCCTCGCGAGGAGCTGGAAGGTCCGCTTTCATCTGGTTAGAGTTTTACGCTCAACAGTAAATTTTCCCCAAGCCGAGGCAATCGTGTTCACCCCGACACCGCGCTTCCTCGTAAAGCACTTAGAGCCGAGGGGACAGACGTGACTGGAAAGGGGACCCGGAGTAAAAGGTCTGCTGATTTATTTATATTTATTTATTTAACCTCAGATTCTCAGGCTTGTGCAGAAAGAACCCAACCCGTGGCTTGCGTGTAATTTTGAGGGGTGGGGGGAGACAAGAAGGGGTGAAGAGAGGCCACTCGTGGGGAGAGATACCTGGAAAAAGAAATGGTGATGGGTTCTTTTTGGCCCCCGAGGAGTTTTCGGGAGGCTCCAGAAGGCAGGGCTGTGGGGCCGTGTGCGTGTTAATAAGATGGGGCCGCCGGAGAGAAGGTCAGGAATGAGTTTGTGCGTTCTGGGTCAGTCCCTGCGTGAAACCGTGAGGTCAGCAGGAGGCTGGGGTTTGGCACCGCGCGGAATCACTCCACGCGAGGATTTCAAAGGAGACCCCTGACTTCATTTTTCAGCTGCCCACAGCGCCGCTTCGGCAGCCCGGAGGCTGCCTGGGAAGGAGAGTGGGGCCCGCGTGGGGCCGGCAGGTGGGGAGACTGCCAGAGCTGTCTGCAAAGCCCGGCTGCAGCCCGAGTTACCACTCCAGGGTCCGCAGGCTGTGTTTTTCCTTTGGAGCCAGCCCGGGGCTCAGGGAGGCCCCCGAGGTGCACAGCGGGGCTTTGCCGCGTGCCTGTCGAGCCCGGGGCCCCAGGCTCCAGAAGGGAGCCTGTGCCAGGCTGATGACACCGGTGATGGATGCTTGGTCTCCCTCCAAGGACACCAGTGCCACAGCTTGGAGCCCTAGAAATCGTGCCGTATGTGCAGATCTACGGTTTTCTGGGGAGAAAGTCCAGGCTTTCTCAGGCTCCCGAGGGACCCTACGGATTCCCCAAAAGGTGAATGGCCGATGCTTTCAGGTTAGGCAACTCTTAACAACCGTTTTCTGAGCTCCTCCCCCTCTGTCCAAGCGCTTTCTAGATGTTCTCTTACTTAGCGATCCCGAAACTTTTCTCCATTTCATACGGGAGAAAATGGGCTCAGAGAGGCCAAGTAACTTCACCACGGTCACACAGCGGGTACGCTGGAAGTCAGCCCAGGCCCGGCCGATCTGCCGACTGCGGGCTGTCCGCTGGACCTCCCGATTCGGAGGTGGGGCCCTGGTGGCTGGCAGCGTGCCAGGGACTGGGGGCAGTGGCTGGTGTGGGGCCGGGTCGCGGGATGCTCAGTCCTGCCAAGCTCAACCGGGACGTTGAGGCTGCTTGGTTGGGAAACGTGGCTCCGAGCACCTGCTCCAGCCCCTGTGTGACCCAGAGTGCTCTGCGGGGGTTGCAACAACCTCCGGAAAGTCTGTGAGGACCGAGGCCAGAGAAGTCTCCAGGGGCAGGTGCAGGGGGCCTGGGGGTGGGGGGGTTCCAAATGAGGCTGAACCTTGGTTTTCTGTTTTACTTCCAAGCCCCAGGAAACCAAACTAAAAGCAACAGGGATCGTCACACCCCCCCCCCCCCCCCCCCCCCCCACCCCCGCTTGCTGTCCTGGTGCCCATCCCCCACCCACCCAGGCCAGCCTGCTGCCCTCGGGCCACATGTTCCTTCTGCCGTCCCCAGGCTGCGGGGCTCTGGGGACATGGGGAAAAGAGACCCCAGGAACAATTGAGACCTTGTGGGCCGTCACTGGGTTGAAAGAAGCTGCACGTGTAAATCACCTGCCCGGCCCCGCCCCACCGCCACCTGGAGGCCGGCTGTAAGGACCCGGGCTCCGCGGTGAGATGTGACGGTCCCCCTTGGCCTTTAATCTGGAACTCTGCACCCACGTCCGCGAGGCGGAACGTTCCCAGCCTTCGGCAGTGCGTCATAGAAGGCTGTCCGTGCAAATGCTCACCTCTGCCCCGTCCCCATCTCCGTCCTCCTCACAGAAAGCCACTTTTTTAGACTCCTGTGTGCCCTTCCAGAGTCTTCGTGCACAGACAAGCCATGTGTATTCTCATTCCCACCGTGTCGCACGACAGAGGGCACAACCCGCGTTCCCGTCTGGCCACCCCATCGTGTCCTCCACAAGCATCTAGGCCGTGGTCCCGCGTCATTTACCCGGCCTCCCTGCAGGACGCCCTCTCCTTAACGGGGGCCCGCCCGGCTCCATTGCGCGGCCCACAGGCCCCCCCCCCACCCCGGGCGGCACCCGTTCGCGGCCGGCCTTTCGTGGCTCGTGACCCGAGCAGGCCTGGCCCTCTGGGCCGGGACTCTTCCCGGGGCCCTGTCTGGGTCAGACAGGCCTGTTGGCGTGTGGCTGTCCGCTCTGGCCTCGGTTCAGCTTGAAGTCCTGAGACCCCACACCCAGAGCTGCTCTAGCCACAAGGTGGGAGGTGTGGGGGGGCCCCTCTCCACCTCCTCCCGACCTCGAGGGGATACCAGTCCGCCCAGGCCTGAAGCCTAACTCACCCCCTCACCCCCCAGACCTGTCCCTCCCCACCCACCCCTGACTCATTCACTCAGCCAGAAAGCCGGGCGGCACCAGCACCCTCTCACCTGTGTCTCTGTATATCTCTACGTCTCTCTGTCTCTGTCTCTCTCACGCACACACACGCATGCACACTGCCTCACTCATCCTGTTGATTAAATTCTTAACTCCCTCCTGAATCCATTCACCCCTACCCATCCCACAGCCGCCACACCGGTCCACCGCGCCTTGCCTCTCGCCGAAGGCCAGGACTCCCCCCACCCACACCCGTATCACTCCTGACCACATCAACCCCTCTTTCCTTTCCTCTGGCTTCTGGGGCTTCACACAGGCTGTTCCTTTTCTGTGATATGCTGTTCCCTTCACTCTGCTTAAGTCCTCCTCGTGCATCAGGCGGCAGCTGAACTGCCAGCTCTAGGGGAGGATGGCCTCCCCTGACCTGGGCTGAGGTGCACACCTTTGTCACAGCCCTTGCCAGCCCATGTCGGAGCGACTCCCTTCATTATCTCCGGCGTTTGCCTGTGAGATTCGCAACGGTAGAGAACATGTCTGTCTTACTTACCCCTCCCCCCAGTAACTGGGCACCGGCGGCTGGGAACGGACACACTTAAGCCACAAGTCACCACACTGCCCCTGGAGTTGCCCAGGGTCCAGCAAGGATAGAAACGAGTGAGGCGGACAATAGGGACCTTGGAGAGCTGGCAGGCATGTGGCCCGTCTCAAAGAGGTGGTTGGGACTCAGCCCCAACTGCTTAGTGCCCTGTAGGAAGAAATCACCAGACCTTCTCGCTGTTTGAGAGAACAGCTGGCTTTCCTCTCCAGGGTGGTCGCCTCATCACTGCAAGATGGCTGCCACAGCTCCAGACATCACATCCTCACATCTGGTGCCCAGAACAAGAAGGAAGCAGCTCTCCTTTATTGTGGAGGGACATCTCTCCCAGAACCCCCCAGTAATCATTCCCTGATGCCTCGTTTGCCCTAGTATTGGATATCCTCTACCCTCCCTGGGGCTACATACATTGTTGCTCAAACGCAGAAAAGAGGACCGGTCTTCGTGAGAGGGACAACAGCGTTTGTCACAGGGGAGCTTGTTTAGATGGTATGGCTTCTTTGAGAAGGTGACGTTCCCTGAAGGGAATGGCAAAAAGCCATGAAAAAAATATGGGGCAAGAACATTCAAGCAGTGAGCACAGTGGGTGCAAAGGTCCTGGGGCAGACACAGAAGCCTGTCCAAGCTAACTCTAGTGCAAAGGAAGGAGGGGCTGTCGTGTGGCCGGGTACCCTGTCCCCTCCACCACTGAAATCCTGACTGCCTACTCAGCTTCCTTCCCTCCCTCTCCCCCTGAGGACAGCTCTGTCACTCCCAGTTGGAGCTTTGGTGTCCGCAGGAGGACAAGAGAGGCACCTGGGCAAGAACTAGGGTAGGGGCTCGGGGGAAACTCCACGGGGGGAGCAGGCCACCGCAGTGCGGGAAGTCAACAGAAGAGAGAACAGGTCTTACGGGGTTAGCATGAACAACGTGTTGGCTTCAGAACATTTAAGGAACTCAAGCCTCGGGATCCCTTTTTTGGTGGCTGGACTGTGTTTCTTGGCCTCGGCCACTTTTGAGAGGCTGCCCTCGGGTCACATCGCCAGGGGAGCTGAAAATATCTGCGGCCACGAAGCTCTAGCGCAGCCGGGCCCCGTGAGGCGGGGGGCAGCCCGTGCTCACGTGGATTGGAGGCTCCCGTGACCCGGAGGAGACCCTCACCCCGGCTGAGGAGTGCCGCTGCCGTGTGCGGGGCGGTCGGCCCGTCGTGTCCAGCCTGGCCACCCCCCGATCTGTCCCGGGAGCGAACGCCACCCCATTTAATAGATGGGGAGACTGAGGTTCAGTTGCGGGGAAGGGACAGAGCTGGGATTTGAAGCGGGGACCTCGGAGCGCTGCCCACAGCTCCCTGGGGCGTCCCTGGGGTCCAGCTCAGCCTGGAGCCCCTGGGTCTGCAGAGGAAGAGGGATCCCCCCCCCCCCCAGCGCCTGCAGAGGAGGCCCGTGGGAGAGGCCACGGGGGCCTCGCCTCTCCCTGTCCCCTCCACCCCTCCCTGCCTGCACTGCCCGTGGGAGCGCCCGCC